GCACCGGGAGCTAAACATTATGGGTATATTGTCACCTTTTATCCTTGATTAAGCTATATTCCATGGAAAGATCAATACTTCTTCTTTAGCAAGGAAAGGTTTGGTTATCCTCAAAGTGCTCTACCAACAGAATGTTACTTTATGGCATTTCCGATTAATGGCCTTAGGATTTGGAATGCTCTAGAACTCGTTTGGTAAATCCATCACTTCTCACTCCTATTTCCAAAGTTGGCATCTTAAAGAAAACTTATGTTAAATTACTAAGGATTTAGATTATTGTTCATTCCTTGCACATATAATGTTTCTACTTGAGTTAATTGCGTTTTTATGTTTTTTATTTTGAATCCTTAACTCTCCAAATAAGGTTTGTATCTCAAACTTGAGGATCCATCCCTCGTCACTAAGGCTTTGGAGGAGACATTAGCACAGCTGCAGATGGGCCAACTCATAGGCCCACCAAAAATCCGTAATCTTTTTCAAAGAGCAACATATTTAGTAATAATCTATATGGGTGATTTTAAAAAAAATACATGATAATGAAATTTTAAATAGCTTATAAAGCGTTGAGAATATAAGAAGTGGTTTTCATCAAAGTACAATATAAATCGGTTAATGAGAGTAATACCATTGCATAGACCTCGAAAAAATGCATCATTATAAACAAAAATCAATCATACACAGTATCGCGAAATAAAGCAAGTCTCACTTCCTTATCTTGTACTAGTAGTATATGACTAATTTGCTACTGTTTTTAGCTAGAACCGCAGCAAAAAATGTTATTTTTAATGAATTAGAATATAACTTCTTCCACACCCAGGTGCTCAATCGGGGTAAATCTTTTTGAAACCACATATTCTTTTAATAACCTATGCAGCCGTGTTAGTTTAAGAAGCTTACTCATACTAGGAAATTGGTTATAAATTTAAAGTAGTTATAAAGGGTGGAAATCGTGAAAATTGGGTTTCTTGATTGGGCAATATGATTAGTAAATGAGAACTCCAAGAGTCCACGTTTAAATTTTTATGAACCCTAATTACACCCATTAACGGGGTTAAATCGCACGGATTTATTCAGTGGATCTCTCATAGAGCTTACCCACACACTTTGGTGCACAGTGATTTCAATTTAATTAGAGCCGTGTTAGTTCTTCATCGTGAGAACTAACAGTGAGAACTAGGGAGGATTTTAGTGCGTTTTGGAATTCTAACTCAGGTAAATGGACAGAAAGTGAGGAGAAAATCTGTGTACATGCATACCTCATGATTGAGCCGCGAAAATAGAACATGGAAAAGTATTGCGAGGAGAAACTTCTTGTTATGAGTTTCCTAGAATTGCCAGTAGTACAAGTTTCCTACTAGTAGAAGTTTTCTGTTTTATTATATATTCCTTATAGAGTTATAGCATTATTCTAATTAGGTAAATGTTACTCTAAGACTGGTTAACCGAGAATCTTGAGACTAGTGTAAATATATTCTTTGGAGTCTGACTAGGTTTGGAGCCTCTTATCTTGCCTCGAGTGGGGAAATTCTTAATCTTTATTATTCAATCTTCTTTTCATCTCCCAACTGCGCTCATGACAAGACCTTGGTCAAAGCCTACTTGTGAGAAGTTGTATTCTCCATGAACACTTGCAAGTCTTATTTTCCAAGACTACTAGTATGTTTAGTTTAACAAGGATGTGCATTTATTGTTCGTATCCTTCTGTAAACAGTGCTTTGTATTTTTTTACGCTAATTGTACTTCTCTACAACTATAAAAACATCAAACCATACAAAGCTGATAAAATTTGTTACTTTGACAATGGTTTCCAACTCTACATAAACGACAAATGGGACATAAATTTTGTATTTTTTACGACAAATGGGACAGAAGTTTCATTAGTGTAACTGGCACCATACATCTAAATGTCTTGCCAATTTCTGAACTCATTATTAATGTTCCCTTCTCTCCTAGTATTCTTGACTTCATGTATACAGATTATTAGTTATTACACTTAAAATTCAGATTTAAAGTCTTACCCTGGCCAATGAAATTAATGCTTTCTCCTTGAGATTCTCAGTAGGTACTGACTTACGAGCAGCTTCCTTCTTCCGTGGGTCCTCATACTGAAACAAGGCCATGTCAAAACTCAAAAACAAACAAAATACATGACACTCTTTCGGAAAGAAAAATAACAATTGTGTATGCCTGGTCTTGGGGATGGTTTGGTAGGATGCAATGTAATTACTTGTCCAGACTCCAAAGAACATAATTCACTTTTCACTTATTTATTTACCACGGTAATAAAGACACGCACATTTTGCATTCCTGGGAAATGTGGATATCATTAGTCTAAAACTAACTTTCCACGTAAAACAAATCACAAGGTGGGAATGAGAAAGCCAATTTGCATGATTTAATTTTCTCTTTTAGCACTTTTGGGGAAAGTACCAAACACCTCCTTAGAGAGTGATTGGTGCTTTTCAAGGGAATTATTTTCAGTACAATCTCTTTCATTTTTTAGTGAAATATTATCATCACATTCACCTTCTCCAAGATGAAAATAATCTCAATTGGTGAATCACTTTCTTTGGTCAAACGGGGCACCAAATAATATAAACAACTCTTTACCTGCAGTTACTTTCCATGGAAAGTAATCCATAGATGTACTATAGTCTTTGACATGTATATGCTAAAATTTTGCCTAGACAAATAGTACTTGACATCCAATTTATAGGTCCAATTGTTTCTTATATGGATGGAAACAAAATGAATGACAACTGAGTGACTGACCCTCAAAACTAGCAATAGTTATACAAATTACAATGAGACAATAGGGAAAGGGGGAAAAAGGTTGGAAATGCTTTTTGTACACCAACACGCATAAGAATCCTCTGTTCATACAGGCAATACAGATGTTTCAAAGAACAAACTTTTTGTTTATGCGAGATGATGCATGAATAGCATAACCCAAAAAGTTAGTGACATTCTGGAAAGGAAAGTTAACACAATTATCAGAAAACGTTCTGGAACCGAAAGTTAGAATAAGTTATCGGAAAACATAAAACAGAAAGTGAGATGCTGAGACTTCTAAATTGAGGTGAATGAAGTATATCCCTAGGAAAAAAGGCAAAGAACAATGTTGAACCAGAAAGAAAATCAATAAAAGAGGTTTAAGCTTAACCAGTAGAACTTGGTCAATGTAAGGCCGTATCTTTTGCTCAAATTCTGCACTGTTTTTACTGTTAACTGCTTGCTGCACCATAAGCGCATCTTCCTCGTCCTATAAGACACATTGTTCCATATATTCTTATTATTATGAAATGCCAGAGGATTATCAAAAAATGACACAGATTTTACGAAATTAAATAGCATAGAATGATAGATAACAAAATGATTTTTTGGGATAAAAAGCACCTCTTTTAGACAGTAAACTAACTAAATCAGTGACAAATCTGTGACTCAGTAACTAAAGTCCGAATTATGCGTTTTGAGACTTTTGTCATCGCATAACTGAGATATGTCACTGAATTAGTTAGTTTTTGTCAAAACTATGAAAAATAATCTTTTTGTACATCTTACTCCCATTAGCCCCCTTTTCTAAAATTAGTCCCATTTTGTTAACACAAAGATAAAGTACACATTAAGAGCCCGTTTGGTAGTTTACACATTAAAACTTTACATGCAATGTGATTGCATGTAAAGTTTAGGGTCGTAAAATAGTTTGCATGTAAAATAGAAATACATTGTTTGGTTAGGTGTGTAATCTATTTTTAAAATAGGCATAAACTGTAAAGGATAAATAGGCAAACAACAAAGTATTGAAGTACTCCATATTCCGTATCTTAAATATCTCACAAATACGGAGTATTATAGAAAAAATTATCACATCATAGTAGAAACTAAAAACTATACCTGCAAAATCCGAGCTAATTCTTCATCGGATATAGCAAACTCAAGCCCTGTCCTTTCTTTCTCCGTTTGTTTTCCGTCCTCAATCGATACCAATTGGAGCTTTTCTGAAATGGATGCCAAATCTGCTTCTGCTGGTACAGCTTGACCATCACCAACTCCCACTATCTGTCCAACATTACCATTTCACATCACGATATATACATATACAAACAGGCAGAGAAGGAGAGACATAAAGAGTGTAGGTACCTTTTGTTGATCAGGTGGAATGGATGTAAGAGAGAAGAGTTGGAATTTGAAGACCTGGAAATAAGAAGAGAAAAGGTAGAAGAAGAATCTATAAGAGATGGCTTTGAAGGAGGACAAACTAGATTGGAGGGAAGAAGAGGGCAGTAGAAGAAAGAACTTCGAAGCCGTCTTCGGTGTCGCAGTCGACGTCGAAGGTGGATCCATTGTGGCGGACAGAGAACTTCTTCACCACCATTTTCTGCAATTAAACTGTTCTCTTCTTCGCCCGGAAGCTAGAAAAGATTTTCAGATACAAAGACTTGCAATAACGACGAAAATGAGAACACGAGACTGCAGAATTTGAGTTTTAGGTGTGAAAATTATACGGAGTACTATGAAAGGGGAAATAACGACGTTAATTATTCTTTTTTAGAATTTTTGACACTTTTGGTCCTATGACTATGTACCAAGGGACTGATTCTGCTTATGCTTCTTTTTTAAAGCGGAAGCGGAATCAGAATCGGTTTTAAGAAGCTGATCACCCCCAGCTTTTAAAAAAACTGATTCTGGGAGTAAATTAGAGCACCAGAATCACTTCTGCACTTTCAACAAAACACTCCAGCTTCTGCTGCTGCTCCTTGAAGGAGCAGAAGCAGTTTTAAGAATCGGATCCAAACACCCCACAAGTCTCACTCTTGGTCCTCTTCTTTTAAAATTTCCATTTTTGGTGCACGACTATTATATTTCGGACACTTTTAGTCCTCCCGTGAATTAGCCGGCAAAAAACCGTCGGCCAAGTAGTTTATTTTCTCCCGATGAGCTCACTTATTTATTTTAAGGGGCATTCTTGTCTTTAAACAAATAAAAAGTTAATACCCCGTGCTCCTTAAAATTGAAGCATTCGTTCTTAGGCATCCTTTGCCCCAGAAGAAGAGAAACGAACATATGAAGGCAAGCTCTGAAGACTAACTCCAAGAAATGGCAGATTCTCCTCCTTCAAGAGATGTGGCTATCTTTCGCAGAAACGGTATGTACTCGTACAAAAAACCCTAATTTGTTTGTTTGTAATTTTGTTCTAAATATATGCTTACACTTGTAGAATCGGATTGTGGAGATGATGAAGAGAGTGATTGTAGCTATTCTCTTTCCGACCTAGAGAAAATCTCAGACAGTGATATGGAAGCAATTAATCAAGATAATATCGAGTTTGAAAAGAATGTGGACTTCAGTGTTGAATATGCTGGTTTAATGAGAGATGAAGAACAACTGGCTCTTGGGTGTACTGCAGAAAAATGTTGGTCTGACCCCAACTTATCTGATGATGATTCTGTAGAAGATTCAGAAAGTGATGTTGAAAGTTCAAAAGTCCCCTGGCCTATTTTCAGAGCTAGCACAGAAATGGAAAATCCAACATTTTCTGTAGGTATGACATTTTCAAGTAAGAAAGAATTTAGAGAAGCAGTGCATAATTATGCCTTTGAAAATGGAAAGGACTTGAAATTTGTGAAAAATGATTCTCTTAGATTTATTGTGAAGTGTGAGCAAACTGAATGCCCTTGGACAATATCTCTAAGAAAAGTGCAGAATTCTTTATCATGGAGAATATTGAGGTTATCAAAAAAACATGAAGGATGTGGTTGGAATTACCATAACAGGATGGTTAATTCAACCAAAGTTGCAAAAAGATGGTCCAAAGAGATACAATTCCACATCAATTGGAAAATGAAGGAATTTAGAAAAAAAAAATGTGTACTAAAGAAAAGTTTCACGTCAGTACGAAACAAGCGTATAGAGCGATCCAGAAAGCAAAGAAACAAATCCAAGGGGACCAAGAGGATAACTTCAAAAATATTTGGAGTTATTGTGCAGAAATTGATAAGACCAAACATAAGTCAACGTGTGTTGTGAAAGTAAGTGACTTGACTGGCCAGAGCGAAGAAAACAGGTTTATGAGATTTTATATGTGTTGGGATGCTTGTAAAGAGGGATTCAAACATTGCCGGCCATTAATAGGTGTTGATGGGTGTCACTCGAAGACTACCATTGGTGGTCAGATTCTAACTGCTGTGACTATTGATGCGAACAATAGCATCTTCCCTATTGCATATGCAATTGTTGAAGGAGAAACAAGACAGTCTTGGAGTTGGTTTTTGAGGATTCTGAAAAGCGATTTGAATATAGGTGAGGATAGTGAACATATGTAAACTATTATGTCTGATAAGCAAAAAGGTTTAATTCAAGCTTGTAAGGAGGTCTTACCTGGAGTAGATCATAGGTTTTGTGTGAGACACTTACATGCCAACATGAAGGTTGCTGGTTTCCAAGGAACTGCATTGAAAAATGCATTGTGGTCATGTGCTAGGGCCTCCACAGTGAACTCTTTCAACATTGGGATGACTAAGTTGAAGGAACTAGATGAAAAGGCACATGAGTGGGTATCTGATAAGCATCCTAGTGAGTTGGACTGTATTATCGGATCATTTGATGTTAATTCTCTACTTGTCCCTGATGATAGCCTTCCTTGGATAGAGATGGCTAGTCAAAATGAGGCAAGTGCCAGTGAAAGAAATAGCGTTTGTGATGCGGGACAACTCTCTAACATAGAAGTGACAAGCTATGGTGTGAACGTTTGTTTTGGAGCTCCTTCCGGTAAACTGAATATCAAGAGGGCAAAATGAAGGACGTATGGATTTGGCCTGTGCACAGTTTTTTTGTTCAATTATTAATGTAATGTTAGCCAATCACTTTGGTATATTTTTTTTGCTAATGTCAATGGCTTAGTAATGTAATGTTATGAAATCTCATTGTTCAAAAACATAAATATTGAATGTTAAGTATTTTGCAAAATTTTACATCCAAGTTATTTGTTCAGTGCTCTAGGCAGAAGGCTCTCGTTAAAGTATACAGATATTTTCTTGACTATCATAGTTATAGTGTGTGAATAGAGACAAATTCATGTCTTTATATAGACCAAATGTGCTTATAGAGACACATTCATGTCTTCTGTCCGACCAAATCTGCTTATTACAAATTCATAAGTACATGCATATGCAGTGCAAAAATGAGATGGAGCCAACTTTATTTGGCTATACTTGTTTGTACACTATCAGTTTTGGTAGTTCAAATAACTTTTTTCTGTAGTTTGCTATGTTTCCAACTTCACTATCTCATGTAATATTATGTTCAATGATATTTAAAGCAAGTACTCCTACTTGTTTAGTTACTGATGTGTTATGCTTCCAAGTTAAAACCACATGGCTGTTTGGTTTGTCCCTATAATTCTGTTTTCTGAAGTATATATATCAGCAGGAGGGCAAGCCTGGAATGGCATGCCAAATGAACTCCAATCGGGGTGAAGTTCTGGCAGCAACTTCCTAACTTATGGGGCTACATTCTGTCCGGTTTATTCTATAAAATGAGGTCTGTAACTGCGGTTTCGAGCATGGTCTGTGTAGCTCAACTTCATGGTTTTCAGGAGCTGCACTTTTCTACACATAATATAAGTAATTGTTTTTAAAAAAATCTGCGAAGTTTAAACCCATTCAGCACCATGTTTGCATTGTAATGTGTATATGTTGATTTCTTATAACGTTCTGGCATCACTCTTTTTTACTCCATCTACATTCAAATGTGTATTTTTTGATGATATGAAACTCATTTGGCAGAATTTTAACTTTCTGGAACTCCATTTTACTCTATGACTAAATGAATTTGATTTCTTCAGCTTTACTCAATGCAATCACTAACTCATTAAACATAATAGATCATAAAAAGCAACTACTCATTATAGAGATGAAGAGAATTACATGGCACAAAGCGACAAACCGACTGGCATTATCTGTTGCAATATTGCAACAAATACACAATCATTACTAATAGTTCAGCAAATACATAAATCTAGATTGCAGCAAACTAGTTACACCTCCATATTACAACAAATATTTCCCATCCAAAGTCCTCACTTTATTTGCCATTTTCCAGGTTACAACGAAACAAACTACAAAGCTAATAACCATAGCCACAGCTAACACCAGGGCACACGGGACTTGAACGCACTTCATAGATGTCTTCTCTTCTGTAATCACATCGGCCTTACTAATTGTCTTCATTTTCATTTCAAGGCTTCTTATTTCTTCATCTTGACGGTTATTCCTTTTCAATAACCTAGGGATTATCCTTTTGGCTCGTTGACACATAGGAGGGTCAAACCACTCCTTAAAATTGCATCCTTCATGTCTCTGTTGCTCTATATGCACAAGTAGAATATTAGTCAGTATTATATATATAGATTCTATCACCTTTTTTTGCCCATGTCGTTCTATGAAATAAGCAAAAAAAACTACCTCAATTTTATGCATTTTATCTAATCAAGCTTTACACAAATTGAGTATTGAATAACTTACTTCATAGTTAGGGAATTGGAAAAATCTCCGACCTGGATTTTCACTACTCCATGTGGTCATCAGCTTCAATTCATGGCCGCAGTGACAGGGAGTAACTGGAATCCACTCGCCATAGCTATAATTCTCACGCCTGGAATTTGAGGATAAGGAGCTTGCCATTTTTTGGATAGAAGATAGCTTGGGTTTTTGTTCTCCGGTTCTTAAAGTTTCATTCAACGGGAGAAAAACAAAAGTAACGTTTTGTTCATTAAAGGCCAAGATTGATCGGATAAGTGACTGGAGGACCAAAAGTGTCTAAGAGTACAATAGTCATGCACCTAAAATGAGACTTTTTAAAGAAGAGGACTAAGCGTGAGACTTGATATATAGTTATGGGACCAAAAGTGGAAAATGTTCTTCTTTTTTATGGAATTTATTTATTACTCCGTATTATTATTGATTAAAAATACTCCGTATGAAAATACTAGGATTAGGATTTACGACAAGAATCCTCTCCAAATTTTAATGGTCCGTTTGGGTAATAGGAACTTAAGTAAGGGTTAGTTTGCCAACACTAAAAAAAACGCTTCCCACCTTTTGACTTAAAAAGCTAAAAAGAGTGTTTTCAAAGTGACAATTTCTACTTAAAATAACACTTAAAAGCTAAAAGCTAGAATCTGTTTTTACTTTTTCTATTACACAAAAAACACTCATTTTACCAAACACTACCAACTTTTACTTTTCATTAATCACTTTTTCCCAAAAGTGATTGTGAGTAGTGTTTGCAAACAAACCCTAAATCTTGTGTAACCAACTAAACTTAGATTTTAATAAAGATTAGGTAAAAGAGTTTTAATGATGAATAAATCACCCTAATATGGTTTTCTTCCCAAGCGATCTAGGGTTTGCGTGCATCGTACCTTGTTGTTTGAACCAATTCTGATCATCTCTCGATTAATTGTCACATCATTTTCATAAGCTGGCGACTATATGGCGGAAGAGATTGAGGACATGTATGCCCAGTTGAGTTTGAAATATGATGGCTGAAGGGGAACTAAACGATGCAGTGGTACTAGACATATTGGAGAGGGCTCGGCTCTGTATCGTTGGTCGTATTTTGTTTCAGTGATGCCATTGCCGGTGTATGGAGGCAAGGGAAGGGCGGGGAATATACGTGAGGTTGGGGACAGAAGATTTTTGTTTCAGTTTTTTCATGAAGTGGACGTTCAACGTGCATTGGCTGACGGACCCTGGTCCTATGAGAATAATTTACTAATACTAAGGAGATTGGATGGAGAGGAAGAACTGGTTACTGTTTCGTTGTCACATGAAAACTTCTTGGATTTGGTGCAAATTTTCAAGCTACAGTTGCGCTACTTCACAGAGAAGACGACTGAATTAATTGGTAATCGACTGGGATGTTTTATACAAGCAGATGGCAATAATTTTAGAGGAGGTTGCAAGGAGTTCATGCGCATTACGGTGGCTCTTGACATGAATAAACCATTGAAAAGCGGACTAGTCTTGAAGAGGGGGACTGAATTCGTAGTGGTAGACATGAAATATGAGAGGTTACCACACTTCTGTTTCATATGTGGTCTCATGAGCCACGTGGACAGATTTTGTCCTAGGCGTTTTGAGGTTATGAAGGAGGATCAGCCAAGGCAGTTTGGCACATGGTTCAAGGCGGGAGGTAGGAGAGGGGGGATGGGCTGTAGCAGCAGGTGGTTGGTGGATGGTGATGGCAAGTTTTTAGTTGATGCAAGACAGAGTAGCGGGCAAGATTTTGGGTGTGATGCTCTGGCAGAAAGGGTTGGGGAAGCTTTGGGTTGGGGGAGGAGGATCAGCTGGATCTCTCCTACTCTTCTGGTGTGCTATTGAAGAAAAGGAAGGCAAGTGGTTCGGAGTCCGGGACCCATGCTTGGGATATTACGGATAAGGACTTTACTTTTCCAAAAAATAGAGAGACGGTGGGACCTGGTTGTTAGGCCCTCTGAGAACTGTGACTTGTTTTTGTTGGACTGTTGTGGGCTCAACAATCCTATGACAGTTCAAGCTTTGGTGGATTTAGTTCAAATGAAAAGGCCGTCTCTAGTGTTTTTAATGGAAACTTTTGCAAATAGGTTTAAAGTGGAGAACGGTATAAAGAAAGTTGGTTTAAATTTTTGTTTTGTTGTTGACACTATTGGTCATAAGGGTGGGTTGGCCTTGTTGTGGGATGACGAGATACAAGTCCAGATTTGTGGCTCGTCGCCTAGTTACATTGATGTTTGTGTGCAGTTAGAAGTTGAAAGTCTTGTGTGGCATTTCACTGGTTTCTATGGGTGCCAGAGCGGAATAGGAGGAGGGAGTCTTGGGATATCTTGAAATCCTTAACTCGGGTTCACGCCTTCCCTAGATTGTTATGGGAGACTTTAATGATCTCATGGTGGCCTTGGACAAGCGTGGTCGGGTTCCTCGTCCTCCTTGGTTGCTTACGAGTTTTCGTTAAGCTGTTTGAACGTGTGGTTTGCAAAACTTCCCGTTTCAAGGGTACCAATTCACTTGGAAAAGATGGAGGGGGTCTCCAAATTGGGTGGAGGAGAAGCTTGATAGAATTCTGGTGCCAGTTGGTTGGCTTGACATTGGGGGGGGGGGGACAGTGCCAGAGTCGCTGGAGAATATATGGCTCAAATTTGGGAATATATGGCTCAGGGATGAAGATTGTTGATCCATAGTGGCTAAGAACTGGAGCTTGGGAGCCGGTTCCTGGATTATAAAACATATTGAAATTTGTAGCAAGTCGTTGGGGGGATGGGGCAGAAGAAAGGTTGAAGATCTGGGCAAAAGAATCAGTTTATGTTGAAGACGGATAGAGTACTTGCGCAAGTTCTCGGATGTGTGGCACCTGGGTGGGGGGTGTGAGAGGGTGGGGGGTGTGAGAAGGTTAAACGAGAGTATTTGGACCTGCTTGAACGGGATAATTTATTCTGGAGACAGAGGGCAAAGAAGTGGGAGGTGATCTTAATACCCGGGTTTTTTCATAACTTTGTGAAACAAGAGCGTAGGAAGAACAAGATTAAGGGGTTTGGATCGGATGAAGGCGGTTGGGAGACTGACAAAGAGGAGATCAACCGACTGATAGACTTTTATTTCACTAATATTTTTCTCTATGCAGAGTGCAAGTGACTTTGTGTTCCATTGTGTGTCCAGGAAGTTGGAAGCATCACATAATAGCGCTCTTTTTAAAACCATCCGAGGAGAAGAGGTTAATACAACTATTTTTGACATGTTTCCGGATAAATCCCCTAGTCCAGATGGGTTTAAGTTCGGGGGGGGTTTCAGCACTATTGGAATGTGGTTGGTCCGAATGTGGTCAAGCTTTGCCAAGAGGTTTTCCAGTCAAGTAAGCTGCCGGATAAGATTAATCATATGAATATAGTTTTTAACTCCTACAAAGGAAAATTCAGAGGTTATTGGGGATCGGAGGCCTGTAGCTCT